TCATGAAAAAGTAAAGAAAAAAAATACAGAATGCATTGTTGTCCCTTCATGGATTCTATCTATCTTGGGTTTCCTTGCACATTTGGTGTCTATATGGCACTCTTCAGACTGCAATATCTGGCTGGACTGCTACTACTTTGAGTCTGTTGCATCTCTGTTATAACTGTAACTATGGGTAGCTTTCCCTCACTCTCAGTAAGTCCTATAAACTCTTTGCTTCCATATTAACATACATTATGCTAAATACAGCTCTTGATCCTTTGAGTCTCAGTCACATGTCTCTCTGATCTCAACAGCATCATAATTTACATCATCGTCATTGTCATATTTATTTTCCATTATACTACAATATCCTACAATAATCTACTTTAAGTTAACTGCATATGTCTGACATTAAGGCTAAGGAGATGTATAGCAGTTTGTGGCACAGGTCTATTTATAGCATCATACCATCAGCAGATCCTTGTGAAATTTCTGCCTTTCTAGTTTCACTGAAATTTTGGAGTCTTTGTTTTTCTGCTTAATGATTTCATATTACAGCTACTTGGGGGAAAGTCTCTGCTGGAGGGGAGTTTCTCTGAAAGGATGGCACTTGGTGTTGCAAGATGATGTTTGTGGCATTGATGCTTGAATGAATAGAAACTATTGTCATTTTTAACAAAAACCTGTATATTTCGGAATCTTTTTATGGAGGTTAGACGTGTATTAAAGGTATATAACTGTAAGCTTCTACAAATCTGAGGAAATATCCAATGTGGTCTGCATTGCCAAAGACTGATAATTACCCACTTCAAAGTGATTTATTAATTTACTAACCGTAAGTTGTTCACAGGGTGTCGTAATACATTAATATCTAGGATGCTACTATTAATCTGTCCAGCAACATCCTTCAAATATATATTCAGCAGATATGCATGTCCTATAAAGACAGATAGTGGTTTAAAAAAGTCACAAAAGACTATTATTATTGGTAAACATTCATTTCATTTGAAATTCTGTTGCTCTTTCTGATGTTTATATTTGACTGGCTGCTCTATTTGAGTTTGAGAATTATAGATTTCAATATTCTTTATTCCAATATATCTTCGAGGAATGTGGAGTTTTGTCTGTGGGCAATTTGCATGAAGTTTGAAGCTGGTAGGAGCAGTGAAATGATAGATACTGCGGGATCAGGTCATTTGCACAATGTTCTCAGTGGCTTTACCATGTCCTTAAACCTTCACATTCTCTTCATTTCATTTTTGCTGATATTTTGGTGGGTGAGAATCACAGAATCTGGAGCACAGTACTGTTTTAGGCAAACAGCAATTTTCTTTCCATACATATAGGGAACCTATAAGCCAGCTATAAGAAAAGCGACACTTTTGTGGGGCAGAGAGAAAGCCTCTATGAAAAAGCACCTCCTGCTGCGTTTACTCTGTGTTATCATGTATTGGTTCTGGAAGTAAATGAGCTAATAATTCTTGTGACTGAGGAAGGGTAGGGATGCAGGGATGAGTAATAATGGGATTCATTATTGATAGCTCTACTTTGAAAGCACCAAGCATTTGGCTCACAGGTTACTTCACATCTGCAAACACAGCTTTTAAACCAGTGGCCCAACTTCTCAATTCTTTAACTTCCTAAATACTTGAAGTTGCATTTTCACTTAACTCTGAAATACGTGATCACCATCTCACCATAGGACTTGTGGAGCAGCTTGTAAACTCTCACCCATGCATACTGAGGACAACTTATTGGAGCTCATCTTCTATTAGCTTGTGATATTTAAAGGGGCTTCAAGATCAGCTTTGTCTTTGATGCTGCCATTTGACATTTAAACAAATGTTCTGCCTCTCTGCTGCTTTTGTAGCCTTGATACTGTGTGGACATGACTGATTATGAGCAATATTCTGGGTGAACTTCAGAGCACAAGAGGTGAGGGTTGCAGTGATCTTGATTTCCAGGAACCAACTTTGTAAAGAAGCATGCTACAAGAACAAAATAATTTGTTGGTGACTGCCATAAGTTTGAGTTTTAAAACAGAATATTTTGTCCAATACATAATGAATGGCCGTTTCTGTCAGTGGCCTTCACGCTTCTATTATCTTCAATGTATCTCAACTTGCCCAGGGATCAGTTAGTCCAGACAGACTTGACACTGACTACTTCACATGGTCCAATATGATTCTCCTTTCCTTCAAAATGAACTGCATTCACGTTTTTACCAGGCCAAAATACAGGCTCTGCAATTACTAGGGGTTACATTTACATAGATAGAGATAATCATAGAATGTTTACGATATAGAAGAGTTGTGTTTAAATATTTTTCTAATCAACCTGTTCAGAGATGTTATTTCACACCTCTCGAAAAGATGGAACTTGAACCTGGGCCCCTGGTTCAGAGGTAGCGATACTACCACTATATCATTACAGCCCTCGAGTTGTTTCAATGCTGTCTCTCTGAAAGGTAACTCAGTGAGTCCCACTACCCCGTCCTTTCCCAGTGTCCTTACACTTTAAAACTGTACCTAAGTCAAGATGGAGTCATGAAGAGGGACTTGTGACATCTGAGCAGTTCTGCCCAGTGACAAACTTATGTCACCCAGTTGTCACAGGGACAGAGGGCCCAAGGCTTGATAACAGTGCTATCAAGTGGCACTTTCAGGAGAATGGCCATCAGTTTTATTCTATTGGGGCCACTTTGCTCCTGACCTAATTGCAACCTTGATGCAAACAGGCAAAAGTGCTGAACCCAGAGGTGAGGTGAGGTGAGAGGCCTCAAGACAGCATGTGACCAAGGATGGTACCAAGGAGCCCCGGGAAAACTGGAGTCAGTGGGAATCAGGAGGAAAATTCTCTACTGGTTCCAGTCATAGAGTTGCAGTTGTGGGGGTGTGAGCTAAGTATGGCGTCAGTTGAATGGTCTAAGCTTTCCTGAGTATTTGACTTCATTTTATCAGAACGGACACCCCCAAATTCTTCGATTTACATGGTGACTTTCAGAGGGCTCCAGGCTTTGGAGAATTGCTCAGTGGAAAATTCAATTCCTCCCCCTGCTCCCCCAGCATTTCCCTCAGAGCCTTGTTCGCATGGGGCTCCTGGAGGGTCCTATCTACGCTGGAACAAAGACAGGGAACAATTCCGTACTGAGCGCGGTGTAACATAAACGCGGAAAATGTTTTCCGTTATGTTGGAAGTCAATATTAAAGTATGACAAGGAGAAAGAGAACACCGGCAAAACGAAAAGAAACAGAGGAAGAGATAATTGTAGAAGGCAAAGCAGAAATAAGCGAATTGTGTGGAGACAGGCAAAGACAGAAACACAGACATAAGAAGGCATTGATAAACCAACTACCGCAGACAGGTGACGACAGATATCGATACAAAGACAGTGAGAACAGACACAGATAAACAGGAGAAGGTAGAACCATAAATCGGTGACAGGGACAGAAAGGAATGTACAGAGAAATAAGGCGAGGAGGATGGAAACAATAGAAGCAATAGAGAGAGATATGGACACATGCACATAGGACGAGTGAGAGAAACTTAGACAAGGCGTAAGCCCGCAGGGAGAGACCTGGGGAGCAAGTCGTACCAGGATAAGACAGCACAACGGTTCCCAAAAACGAATGGAAAACCAGACAATTGAAATAAAAGAAGTAAACAAGTATATAAGGACAGTGGAAGATAGAAAAGACAGAAATAGGAGGGAAACAGATAAAGATGTAAACAGGAGAATTAGAAGGTAAAGCAGCAGTAGAGAAAGATGGAAGGAGAGAGAGTGAAGGATTGAATGATGAAGATAAAACCAGCGAAACAAGACTGAGGACAGAAGAGGTGGTCACTCAGATGCTATCCAGAGGCGAGAAGCGGCAAACTACCGATTCCGTGGAGAAAGCGATGTTTTCGTTCCGCAGGGATGAATGTGAACAGCCACAGGCTGTTCGTATTGAACTGACTTTGCCAGGTTTGAACGAAAGCTGCCCCCGTGCCTGAGAATTGGCATCAGCAACATGCCATTAAATTCCAAGAATGAGTTGTTATTCATTTCGGAAAATCTGTTGAAAGCACAATTATCACTTCCTGGAGCCCTTGGTGAGCAGCTTTGTGTTTGATTGGGGGCACTTTGTGAATTCCACAATTTGTGTACTTTGTAACTTTCAACCACTCGAACTCTTTATTTCCTTTTCATTGCTTCAACTTGTTTGCTTTCCGGTTTTTCTTTCCCCTTTGAGCTCCCACGTCACTTTAGTAAAAAATACTTTGTTATTTTTTCCTGGGGGTGTGTACTCAATGGGAAAATATGAGATACTGACGCTGCTTGTTGCGCATTTACCTGCGTTCCTGCCTTTCTACACTGCCCCCTGCCCTTCCACACTGCCTCCTGCCCCCACACACAGTCCCCTGCCCCCACACACAGTCCCCTGCCCCCTGCCCCCACTCACAGCCTCCTGCCCCCACACGCAGCCCCCGCCCCCAATCACAGCCCTCTGCCCCCACACACAGCCCTCTGCCCCCACACACAGCACGCTTCTCCCACTCAGACCCCCCTGCCCCCAACACGCAACTCCTTGACCCCTGCCCTGCCCCCACATACAGCCCCCCGCCTCCTGCCCATGCCCCTCCACACTGCCTCCTGGCCCCACTCACAGCCTTCTGCTCCTGCACATAGCCCCCTGCCCGCACACACAACCCCCTGCTCCTGCCCCTCCGCACTGCCTCCTGCTCCTGCACACAGCCCGTTGTCCCCCACACACAGCCCTCTCCAGACAGCCCCTTGCCCCTGCTGTCTGAGCAGGAACTCAGGATGATGACCAGGATGACGTGACTGTGTTTATTTCCATGTTTGCTGTTGAGTAACTTTCCGGGGGTGTTGGGGGTAGAGGGTGGTGGTGGTGGTGGTGGTGGGGTGGGTGGGGGAGGTGGGTGGATTAAGAGGCGCTCGGGAGGTGGGACAGTCCCAAGCCGTGTATAAATAGTTGAGCGCAGCAGCCAAGACGAGAGCAGAAGGCGCCAGACTACAACAAGATACCCGGGCAGAGCAGGTACAACAGTTAAGAGGGCACTGCGCAGGGCACGATACCAGGCAGGGCAGTAGCGCAGGGCAGGAGACCAGGCAGGACAAGGTAATAATACCAGGCAGGACAGGGCAGTAGGCAGGGCAGGAAACCAGGCAGGACAGGGTATTAATACCAGGCAGGACAGGGCAGTAACTGAGGGCAGCAGAGTGGGCAAAGCGGTGGAGCAGAGCGCAGGAGGCGGGCAGTGGCACAGCGTGGCACGGAAGAGAGTAGCAGGGAGCTCGGCGGCATGTACTCCAACAGGTTCGAGGGACCCAGGAGAGGGCGATCCTTCGAGTCTGTGAACTCCGGAATGGACGAGAAGCACCTGAATAATGAGGTTAGTCGAGTTGCTGCGACTGTTTTCGGGGTTTGTTTCATGTGATCAAATGCTTTGGAAGCTATGGGCCCACTTTGTGGGATCGGGGGCGAAGAGGGCAGGTGATGAACCCCTTCCCCACTAAAAGTACCCCACCACCGGCTGATATCCTGGAGCTCCAGTTGGTCAAACTGGTCTTGGAGATCATCGCTAAGAGACGCTGAAGAAATGCGAGGCTTTAGATTGGAGGCTTGGTGTTGTACGGTTTAGGTGCAGGGTCAGTCGTGAACCCTCACTGGGGAATAGCCGGCACAGAAACACTCCCCAACATCCTTCTACACAACTCGAAGTTTTGTAACAGAAACACAAATTGTATAATTTCTCTGATTACATTAATAGTGTTGCAGAGCTAGAATTGGTCAGAAAGACCTTCCAAATCTGCACCAGTTTGAGATGCTGTGGTCCTGACCCAGTGCTCAGCGGCTCTGCGGGATTTAACGTGTGAGGGATCTGTGTGCAACGGAGATTTGTGTCAATCATTCCCAGGCTCAGACTGCCCGCTTCCTTCGAAGGTCACAGGACACTCCGACGCAGCTCAGTTGCTCCCATTCAGACGTTGTTGCTGTTTGCAGGCCCCTGCAATAGTTAGCAGTGATTAGGATAATTTATTGTAGAGAGCTGGGAATGGGCAGATGGTGAGCCCGGGGCACTGATGCATTTGTGATGTTTACCAATATTTTGCTCATCCCAAACTCACTCTTAGTTTCCCATCTCCCTGCCCCTAGAGCCGCTCGGAGATAGGATATTTAATCCAGCATTTACAGCCCTGTTTATTGCGCATTAACTAAAGCCAGCTATACATAGCTGACCCGTGGTCAACCCTTGTCAAATTAAGTAGGATTGTAGGTCACACCTGTTTGAAAATTTGGAGACTGGTTGTCCTTTCAAACCAACACCGTCCCCACTCCCCCCCCCCCCCCCCCCCCACACACACACACACACACACAGGTAAGTGCATTGAGGAAGAACTGTCTGATCGAGTTGAAACTAAGGCGGAAATAGTCCTGGCCACAGTAAATATAGTTGAGTAAATATACTGATGGCTGCGCCATAGCCAAGATCATAATGGCATCCACCGTTATTTATGAGCAAGTGTTACAGCAGCTTCAATGTTGCAACAGGAAATTCAGCCGTTTACTGTCGGAGATGCTGTTTCACCTTTCTGCCCAGACAGCAGCTTTTTGCCCCAACACTTGGAAGTCCATTGAATTCTGTGTATTAGTTTGGCAAATTGGAACTAAACTTTCCAGAGAGAGAGGTCCTGTCTGTTTCAACCCAAGTATTCACAGCCACTCGATGATTATTAACCTCTTGACTCTGAACAGCATAGTCATTTACAAGTGCGTAGAGTCATGGAAGTTACAAGTATTGGAGATTTAAAAATGTATTTTTCACAAGCATATTTTTCCTCTGTCCTCTCCCCTACGACCTCCAATCTGTATATTTGTTGCCGCCTTTTACCTGTTTGGCCCTGACTTGACATTGAATTCATCCACTCACTTCCTTCTCAATCCTTACACTGTTAATTCCACAATCCTTCAAGCTGGTTACACAGCCTCTTGGATCTTCAGTTTCCCTGTGATCAAATTGCGCTTTCAGCAACTTGTGGCTGAAATGAATAAAAATAGGTCTATATTACCATATATAGTGACTAATTAACAGATAGCAACTAATCGGCACAAATGGTTCCCACTTTTGTGCCCCCTAGTCCAGAATTTACAGATTATTCACTTCCCTTTTAATAAGCAGATAACTGAAGGCTATCAGCACTGAAATAGGACAAATCAGATCCAGAGACATGGATCAATAACTTGACTTCTGAACAAACATATTGGGAAATGTGATCTTCCCCCCAATGATTTTACTTTCAACTGAGTTCACATTTCACCATGGCATTTGGTTGATTTTGAATTTAATAGAAAATCTGGAATTAAAAGTCTTAACGATGATGATTATTGATTGTTACAAAAACCCATCAGATTCACTAATAATCTTTAGGGAAGGAAACTGTTGTCCTTACCTCATCTGACCTACCGGAGATTCTTTAGTGAGGAGCAGCCTTAGAAGTCCTCAACATTGACCCCAGACCCCATGAAGTCTCATAGCGTCAGGTCAAACAAAAATGGGCAAGATATCTCCTGCTGATAACTGTGCACCACTTTGTCCTCAGCTGGTGAATCAGTACTCTTCAACATTGAACAGTGCTTGGAAGAAACACTGAGCATGATAAGGGTGCAGAATGTACTCTGGGTGGGAGACGTCACCAAAAATGGCTCAACAGCAGGACTACTGGTCAAGTCCTAACAGATGTTGCTGCTAGACTGGGTCTGCAGCAAGTGGTGAGGGAACGAACAAGAGGGAAAAACATACTTTACCTCATCCTTACCTATGCTGCAGATGCATCTGCCCATACAGCAACAGTGAGAGTGATGACCAGACAGTCCTTTGTGGAAACAAAGTCCTGTCCTCACATTGAGAATACTCTCCATCATGTTGTGTGGCACTATCACCGTGCTAAATGGGATAGACGACTTAAAACTGGGCATCCATAAGGTGTTGTGGGTCATCAGCAGCAGCAGAATTGTACTCCAACACAATCTGTAACCTCATGGCATGGCATATCCCCCACTCAACCATTATTACCAAGCCAGTGGATCAACCCTTATTCAATGAAGAATGCAGGAAGGCATGCCAGGAGGAGTACCAGGCATACCTAAAAATGAGGTGTCAACTGGTCAAGGTACAAATTAGGACTATTTAGGTGTCAAACAGCATAATCAGCAAATGACAGACAGAGCTAAGAGATCCTAGACCAATAGTTCAGATCTAAGCTCTGCAGTCCTGCCACATCCAGTCATGAACAGTGAAGGGACAATTAATGCAATGGAGAAGGAGGATCCACAAATATTCCCATCTGGAATGATGGGAAAGCCCAGCACATCAGTGCAAAAGATAAGGCGAAAGAATTCATGGCAATTGTCAGCCAGAAGTGCCAAGTAGATGATTCATCTCAGCCTTTCCGAGCGATTCCGATCATCACAGTTGCCAGTCTTTAGCCAATCCAATTCATTCCACATGATAAAGAAATGTCAGGAGGCATTGGATACCGCGAAAGCTATAGATGCTGACAACATTCTAGCAATAGTACTGAAGACATGTGCTCCAGAGCTTGCCACTCCCCTGGCCAAGCTGTTCTAGTACAGTTACAACACTAACATTTACCTGACAATGTGGAAGATTGCCCAGGTATGTCATGCCTTTCATGGCATCCCCAACTTTGGTTCCTCTACATTTTCTCTCTTGTTGAAGTGCATTAAATCTCCACTTGAAACATCTATTTCTTAAAAATCATCCATTGTTCCCTTACAGTTTTCACATCACTCTTAGGTTCTATTTTACCCTGGCTGCATTTTCTCTTGCCATTGAAGTTAGTTGTCTTCCAATTCAGATGTTCTGCTTTAATTTGTTCCTTGCTTTTTTCAATCACTAACCTAAACTTTAATATGATGTCCCCTCCCCACTGCCTCAGACCCTTGTTGTGGAAACTTCTCAGGTCCTGAATGATGTCAGCATTGGCGACAATGCTGGCAGAATCATTTGAGATTGACAATCAGGAACTACCTGATGACAGTTGGAAAACATGTTATTGTTGAATGGTGAAATAAGATTTTCACTGGTGAGTGGCGAGAATCTCACCACATTGATGAACAGTTTCCCATTCTCCCGCTCACAAGGTAGAAACTTGATGGTTACAATTCCTGACATGAAGGTCAGTACTAAGTTGGTGACTCCAGCTCAACGCTTGCTCCTCTCGTCCTCCATCAGTCTCCAGTATCTCAAGGCATGTTCCACAGGCAGTGACTGCCATGCTTCTTGTCTACCAGGACCTCCAAATGCCTGTTGGCAAAGTGGGGTGCCAATATCCCTTTGTCTAACATATCTGGGGCAATTGACAGGAATCCTACAGTGGCTCAGTGGTTAGTATTGAGTGATTAGCACCAGGGATTTGAGTTCAATTACAGCCTTGTGTGACTGTGCGTCTGAAGTTTGCACATTCTCCCTTTATCTACATGGGTTTCCTCTGGGTGCTCCGGTTTCCTCCCACAGTCCAAAGATGTGCAGATTTGGTAGATTGGCTGTGCTTAAAATTGCCATGTAGTGTCCAAGGACATGCAGGTTAAGTGGATTAGCCATATTAAAGGCGGGGTTATGGTGGATAGGGTCTGTGTAGGTCTTCAGAGGTTTGGTGTGGACTCAATGGGCTGAACAGCCTCTTTCTGCACTGTAGGGATTCTATGATCTGCAGACTGCTAGCCCTTGACTAGGTGCATAGCTGATATTAAAATGTGCTGTTATTAAATGTCCCAACAATGGTCAGTACTTCAGCTTGTGGCAAGTGGAAGAATACAATGAGCAGGATGGCACTGGGACATGGTGCATAGTTAAGGGGTAAATTTAGGAAGATAGCATGAGAAATCTTCCTAGGGGCCATGCAGTCAAACCCTCTGTGAAACTCATAAGAAATGACACTGACAAATATCTAGGAAGATACAGCCCCTAGTCCACTTTGGTTGACTCATTTCCTAGCCCTAGATCCAAGAATGTCTTCTTTGCAGCTGGACAAAAAAATATATGGTCAAGGAAGTTCTCCTGAACAATTTCAGAAATTCTAGCCCCCACACCCCCACCACCTTTCACTTTATTCTGATATCAGTATTTCTTTTTTATAATTTGTTCAGAGAATTTGGGCATTACTAGCTAGGTCAGCCTCACATCCCATGAATACATCTTTTAAACAAATTACCCAAAATATTGAAGTTCCACATTATCACCATTCTCATATTCTTGCTCAATATTGTGATTGATTCCCATTTTTGACACAATGTCATAGTTCCATATGTTATTTGTACCTCTAGTTTATCAATCTTATTCACTGCAATTTGTACATTTACATTCTAAACTAGTTTTCTACTCCCTGTAGTCCTTTGTAATGTTCTCCTACCTATTATAATATTATTTCCATCTCTATTACTATCCAACACTCTCAGTCCTCCATGCACTTTATTCCTCTTTCTATTTTTATATACTGGTGTCCACCTCCATGAAAATTTTGTTTAAACCTTATCTAACCACAATGAACTTCCCTGTGAGGATGTTGGACCTGGTACTGTTGATATGCAACTCATCCTTGTTAAATAGATACCTCTGACCCCAAGAATCTTATGTCTCCCTTCTGCACAATGGCTTTGAGTAACCCAGAAATTACTACTTTTAAGGTCCTACTTTTTAACTTCCCCCCCTAAGATGTTGTCCTTCCTGTCAACAATCTCCAATGTTGAGTGCTTGTTTGAGAGTGGCACATACCCTGAAGTCATCTGTACTCCCTGACTTATCTTACTCTTCTGGCTGGCCACCCAGCTTCTATCCTGCATTCTGTCTGTTCGCCCCTCTCTCTTTCTCTCTCTTTTCACCCCCCCTGTCTCTCCCCCTCCCTCCCTGCCTGTGGAGGGGTTACCTGCTGGAAAGTACAGTCCAACCTCTCTGACACTCTGCACTGACTCCAGTTGTTCTTCAAGCTTGAAAACTCTGGGCTTGAACTTATGCAGTTGGAGATACTTTCTTCACATGTGGTTCCCCAGGATGCATGAAGTGTCCTTAAGAGTTCATATGGCACAGGAAGTGTAAGCAATACATCTCAGCTCCCCATATATGAGCTAAAAAAATCTCTGCCTCCACTTCTAGAATGCTGTTAATACCTTGTTTAAACTATTAATTAAACTGTTCTTCTCGATCTTACCTGTGCTAATCGTCTCATTATTAATTATTCTATTCTTAGTTACAGCAATATAGGCCACATGAGCTACCTTGAACGTGGAGTCCCAGTCTTTTCCTACAGCTTGCAATCTCCTGAGTGATACAGCCCCCAGCACAATCCGATCCTTGCTGCTGTTATTCTCTCATCTTTATTGTTGTCCTTTTATATCTGACAGATCAACAAGTCAAATTTCAGTAAAATTGAAGAGAATAAGGAGAATAAAGAGAATTGCAATGTGTCTGTAGAACGGGGGCGAGTTGCTGTGGTCTTCTCACTCAAAAATGAAGTTGGAGGGCTTGCGAAAGCACTGAAACTCTTCCAGGTAACAGAATGTCACACATTTGGTGCAAACCCAAAGAAAAAGCCTCTCTCTCTCTCTCTGTCACTGTCACTGTCACTCATTCATGTTCACACTTTTGACTGTAACTCCTACTTTCTGGCCTTGAATAGATTCCAAGTCCATATTATCATACAATCTTGAGTCTGGGGATCCAGCATCCAGGAGCACCTCATATACTCAAAAGGAGACACATTCCTTAGTTACGGATTGTCATTAATACCAAACAGCATCCCCATGTCTCATGTTTGTCTTCTTCATTTTCTGCAATTTTGAATTTTGAAGGAGTATATTTTCCTTATTTTAGGATTAAAGATTATAGCACTTTGCATGATAGAAAATAATGAGCAGAGTCTTTTAGAGGTCTGAGCGATGTGGACTATTGTGTGATGATTGCGAAAATTAGATGAGAAGTCTGAGACCCATCATATGGCCAAAATTGTCTTGCTTCTTTAAGCCTGCCTTCAAAGTTTGGATTGGTCTTTCCACCGGACCATTGGACAATGGATGGCCTGGAGCTATCTTTACATGCCGAATGCCTATTCAACTTTAGGAAATACTCAAATTCCCTGCTGGTAAATGATGGCAAGTTGCCTGTGAGCAACACTTCTGGCAGTCTGTGTATTGTAAAAGATGCTTGCAGTTTTCTGTTTTTGTCCCGTGTTTGATGAATGAACTCTATGCACATCCAACCACTTTGAATGGGTGTCCATAATGACTAAGAACATTGAACACAGGAAAGGGCTGGCGTAGTCAACATGGAACTGAGTCCAGGGTTTACCCGGCCATTCCCACAAATTTGGGAGAGCTGCTGGTAGTAATTTTTGTCTTTGTTGGTACTCTGGGCACTGCCCCACCAACATAGCTATATTTGCGACCAATCCAGGCTGTCAGACATAACTTCTCACCAACATCTTCATCTTGGAAGCCCCTGGATGACTCTGGTGGAGTTCAGCCAGTATCTGGCAGCGACCTTTGCTCGGGCCAATCACTCTTGCTCCCCATAATAAAATGCTGTCCTCAACTGTGATCTGGTCTCAGTGGGTCCAGAAAAGTTTCAATTCTAGTTGTGATGGCTCTTTTGGTTCCCCCATCATTATCAGCTTTTTTAGTTTTGCCAGGACCGGATTGTTTTGCGTCCACAATCTGATGTCAGCAGTGATTGGAAGGGTGTCCAGAAAGTTTAAAACCATTACAGACTCTTCCAGTGGCAGCACCACCAGTGATATATCTGCCAGTGGGAGGCAGGTCGATGCATCCACATTTGCTACTTGGTCTCCCAGACAGTGTTCCAACTTGTAATTGTACACACTTAGAATGAGAGTCCACTGCTGAATTCAACCTGAAGCTATGGGTGACACAGCCTTGTCCTCTTTGAGTAGTCCTAGCATGGGTTTGTGGTCTGATACTGTTACAAATTTATGTCCATAAAGGTATTGGTGGAATGTTCTCACACCAAAGATGACCACCACTATCTGGACGTATTTACGCTCTGCATCAGCCAAAGTCCGGGAAGTACAGTCTATTGGGTGTTCCTCTCCACAAGCCCTTAGAAAATGATATCTGCTTCTTCACTTCCCTAAAGGCTATGTCTCGTCTATAAGACTATTTCCAAGGCTGACCCTTTTTCCATGGCAGAGGTAAGGGTACTAGGATGGAGGTCAGGTTACGTATGAACTTTCTGTAATAATCCACCATTCCAAGGAAAGACCTAGACCCTGGTGCAGATGTGGGAGCCAGGGAACTGTTAATCACCCTCACTTTATCTTCCAAAGGGTGTAACCCAGTCTTGTCAACTCTGTAGTCCAAGTAGGTCATTTGGAGTGCCTGGAACACACGTTCTTCCCTTCTAAGGCATACGCCCACCTTGGGGAAATGTCTAAGGACTATATCCAAGTTTTCTAAGTGCTCTTTGTTGGTCTTCCCTGTTATTAGCACATCATCCAGGTAAATGATGATCTAGGGTAGACCTTGTAAAATGTTCTCCATTGTCTGCTGAAAAACGGCACAGGCTGATGATACCCCAATTTCTTATATTGGTACAACAATTAATACCTTGATGGGTATTAATTGTCGCATACTTCTGGGAATCCTTATCAAACTGCAATTGCAGGTACGCATGGTTCATGTCCAGCTCCGTGAAGGACAGCCATCCCTACCAGCTTTGCATATAAATCCTCTATGCGAGGGATTGGGTATGTATTCAGCTGCAAAAAGTGGTTTACTATTTGCTTAAAATCCCCACAAAAGCGAACCGACCAATCGGTACGACCGGTGCCCCCCATTTCCACAAACTGTACAGGTTTGATGATTCCTTCACTTTCCAACCTCCTGATTTCTGCCTCAACTTTTGCCTGTAGGGCAAATGGCACTGTCCGGGCCTTGCAGAATCATGGAATTGCTTCCTGGTCAACATGCAAGGCGGCCTTTTCTCCTTTGATAGTCCCTAGATGTTCCTGAAAGATGTTTGGATATTTAATTAGAACTTCACTTCGGGAAGCCATTTTCTAATTGAAGAATATTGAACTAATCAAGGTGTATCTTTCTCAACCAATTTCACCCCATCAAGCTTGGGCCGGAGGCTTTTATTAAAATCAGTGGTAACTGAACCAGTTGCTTCTCGTATGAGGCCGTAACCAAAGTTGTACCTTTAATCTGTTGGGGTTCCCCGTTATAGCCAAGGCCTTACACAAACTTAAGGGTTAGACTCCAGTGCAAATTTTGGTAAAGGCTGGTACTGCAATCACTGATATAGCTGTGGCAGTATCAATCTCCATTTGAACTGAGTGACAATTTAACCAGACATTTATTTTGATTGGTTCCAATTTGGATGTTGCTAAGCAATTTAACTGTTCCAAACCAGATGTAGGTGTTCTTTCCAGGTTGTGCACTCTCCTGGATACCTCAGTCAGCCTGGTGAGGGTGTTCACTTCCATCGGAATACCCTATAACTCATATGCCCCACTTGCGGCATTTTTCTAATGAAAAACCAGTTGTAATGCCTGCTTGAAGTCCAGTTGAGCTTCAGCAATTGGTGCTTTTTCATAGTTACATCATTAATCCCACATCGGAAATGGTCTCTCAGCATCTCTTGAATGGTTAAACAAAAGCCATGTGCCTCTGCTAGTCATCTTAACCTCCTCAAAAATCCCAACACAGATTTCCCCTGGTTCTAGAATTGCCAGGTAAAACCAATAGCATCTCAGAATTAGAGGAGGCTTGGGGTTATAATATTCCTTAAGTAAATCCATCAACTCTTGAAAGGTTTTTGTATCTGGTGCCTCAGGAAATGTCAAACTCGTAATAACCGAAAAAGCTGCGGGTCCACAAGCTGTCAGGAGAATTACTCATTGCTTTTCACTCAGAGCCAGCTCTGAGTGAACAGAAACTCCTGTTCTTATCTGTCAGCCAGGGCTCCCTGGTTGGGGGTGTTAATCTGGTCCAATCAGGGAACTCATATTTTATGAGGTCCACTGGCTGACCTCATTATAACCACTATAAATGTTTAAATTTTTTTAAAATAATGGAATTAATCAAGTAAATTACACACTAAGTAACCTAAGTTATTGACTTGTCACCTGTAAAGTCTGGATGAGTCATGAAAGGACTGTCTGTTTAAACCAGATTAATTAGTAGATGTGTTGAAATCCCCAGAACTCTCTCTAAATCTCCTCAGAATTAGTCATTTACCTAATCTTCCTACTTAATTCACCCTGAACAAAATTGCATGAGTTTATCTTGATTACTTTAGAATGATTTAAGAGTGCTTAGTGAACAATTAACAAATAGCACAAACAATGTACTAATGAAACCCTGAATTGAGAATATAAATTATTGGAGCCATACAGCAGGTCAGGCAGTATCTCTGGAGAAAGCAATCCAGTTCTGATGAAAGACTATCAATCTGAAATGTTAAGACGAGTTTATCTCCTTTGCCCAGACCTGCTGAGTACTTACAGTTTCGAAAAGCTTTCAATTAAGAAATAGTGCTTTTGCTGCTAAGTATACTAAAGTTATTTAAGAACAGGGCAAGATTTTGCAAAACAGTGAAATGGAAGAAACTCACCCTGGTTTAGTACAGCCAGTATAGTCATTTAGGGCTTGCAACCCAGTGCAGTTTCACTGTCAGGTCTCTGAATGGATTTAATCCCAGTAGTTACCTGCAACTCTGAATGAACTCTGTTTCTGCTGAACTGCTCTGTATGGATCTTGTCTGTTAGGGACAGTCTTTGGTCTATTGTCCCAGTTTGAGAACCATATTTGTGCCCCAGGTAGATCCCATCCCCAAACCAAACCTTTGTACACTATATTTGTGTTTGCTTATAATCACAAGTGCTTTCTTTAATTGAACTTTAGCGGCCTCGAAATTGTTTCATGAAGTATTTCACAGTTAAAGTTAACAAAGCACGTTATATTTGCAGTTACATTGTAGGACAGAGAAAAGGGACAAATGTTGTTGAAGCTTTTAATCTCGCACTGAACAGACATAATGATGCTCAATTTCCAATGATCCAAATAGTTTCTACTACAGGCAAAAGGATGCTGATTAGTTTTCAAGTCAACTCTGGCTGAGGCATTGCTTTGGAGAAAGTAATGGACAACACTAGGCTCCCAGCTCCTGTATAATTGAAAAAGATGTGAGGCTTGAACACCCTACTTTTGTTTTCAGAGGCAGGTCCCTGCATATCAAAGTACATCACTTCTCGCAATTGTAAATGAGCAATGTTACTAGCTCATTATGATCACAAATTGGTTGTTATTAAAACACACTCTAGATTGTTCATCGCGTGTTGCCCAATCACAGAATTGCATCTAACAGTTGTTTGGTTTTAGATTTCGCATGTTGAGCCTAGTTGTGTATAGTATATACTTTTGCCCATGTTTTAGATGAAAAGAAAGCATTCTAAACAATTAAAGTCATGTTGCATATTTTCAGTAATCTGCATTTGAACCTCATAATTTTATGTATTGTCTGTATTCACTCTCCAGGAAAAACACGTGAACCTAGTTCACATTGAGTCTCGAAAGTCTAAGCGAAGGAATTCTGAGTTTGAGATTTTCTTGGACTGTGACAGTAACAGAGAACAACTCAATGAAATCATCCAAATTTTGAAAAGTCATGTTAATGTGGTAACCCTGAACCCACCTGACAACTCCTATGCACAAAGTGGTGGTAAGAAACATGTCAATGCATCACTGTCAGAGTGTGATGCTGAAATAGTGTCTGCTTTGCAATGGGCCTGTTATTACTAAGATGCATCATTAGTAATGAGTATAGCTGCATGTATGTCATTGTACTGTTGGTATGTCAGTGCATGACAGCTTGAGTGTCAGTAAGTATGTTATTTGTTGCTGCAGCTGTATCACTGTTGTTGAGCAAATGAATATGTCAATGGGTGTGCCAATTTGTGATAATGCATCTAGTGCATTTGTGTTGTTGTCTAATTATCACTGAACATGTCCATTGAGCTGTTTATGCAAAGAAGTATTTCAGTAATTAATCCAATCATAAACTCTGAATAAGATAATCCCTCATCCGTACATAGAAATCCATGAATAAAGCTTTGTAGTTTGAGAATATTAATACATTAAAATAGTTGAAATCATTATTTTGTTTATCACACAGATGTACAAATTTATTGCCTTAATGTTGATGGTACGTATAATCGGGCATTCCATTTTTGTTCTAAAATATTACCTATTTGTCAAAATAAATGTCACAAAGTTTATTGGAAAAATTAGTGAGTACAGGAAGTGATCATACAAGGCATTCTGGAGCCTAAAATGTATTATCAGAAAACATGCAATAATATAAACTAAGAAATAGTTGCATGTAGTCAATTTTATAATAGGTACGACAATAGGGAAACCATATTAAAAAGCACAATGATTGTTGGTGTACCTCAGTCTTCTCATTTTATTAATTTAATTCATGATTTGTTTTTGTAATTATAACTTGTAAAATGTCTGAATAGAAATTATAAATTGAATAATATTACATACAAATAGAAATTGTAAACGTAATAGACATTTTCTAATGTAGCTATATGTATAAAAATAAATGATGCATATTCTGAGACACATGCAATCAAAAATTGTAAGTCTTGTAGGGAAATAGATGAGTATAATATAGCGTTTGCATGCAAAAATATATCTAAAAGGACACAAGTAAATGTTTAAATAAACATGATAAATACAATGAGGAAATCTATGAATAGAGAGTATAATTGTTACAAAGTAAACGTACCAATAGAAATGATAACCAATAGGGGAATTGTAAACAAAGCTGCTAACTATTACAGGAAGATGAAGAGATTCAATTACATTAGGGAGGAATGAGTGAATAAGAATGACAAATAATGTAGGGAATTTGTAGATAAAAATAATAAAAAGCACATTACAAGAATCAGCATTCAAAAAATTACTATTCATGAATATATGATTGACTCAATAATTGAACATGTAAATAAAATATTAAAGAGAAATGTGTAAATCAATATGATAAATAGTGAATCATATATAAATAGAATTATAAATAGTCCAGAAACAATGAGGGTTGTAAATATATTAAATATATGAATCATTATGTAGTTACATGAAAATAATTACATATATTAATTAACATTTTAAATTATAAACAAATAGGTATTGAAATTATTAACAACATAAAATTTAGATATTATTGCATTAATAGAAATTAAAACTACAGTAAATAAATAATTTGAAATTCTAAGTACAGGAAATCATACAAATAAAATAGATTTATATCTTACAGGAGATTTCTGAGTTGTAAACATTGCAGCACAACCGGGTTTAGTTTTATTTCACATTCTGTGGAACTGTGAAAGACAAATATATGTAGGTAGACAGAAAGAAACATCCATTTTCTTAAAGTCTTATGATTGCAGAATACCCCTGGGCTCTTCACAACTAGTGAATTACTTTGAATTGTAAATGACATAATATATGGAAGCTTCACAGGCAACTTCCACCCTGAAGGGTCTAACAAAATGACCCAATATATTTAAATCAGGTAAACATGGAAACAAAACCCAATGATACTTGAAAATATTACAAGTCACAGTATTATAAAATGTATAATAGAGGAAAATATTAACATTATCAATATTGCAGGATAATGTATTCATTTATGTAATTTTCACATGGTAATGTACAAATAGAAATGACTCACTTGATGGATAAGTATACTTATATAATCATAAATATTTAGGGACTATAGTATAGATAATTAATCTTGGTGTATGCATGGATAATATATAATGTAATATGTTGAAATATTAAAAAGAAATAGTACATGGCAATTTTTTGGATATAGATTGGAAATATTAGGAGATATAGCAATCTATATTTTGTTGAAAGCTGTGTATAAGATAAATATTACAGTAAAATAGCCAAATAAAATGATAAATCACAAGTAAACATATCAATAGCAAACAGACTCATACAGGCACACAGCACAGAAACAGACCTTTCGGTCCAACTCATCCATGCCGACCAAGTTGGCTCATGCATTTGGCTTATATCCCTCTAAATCTTTCCTGTTCCTGTATCTGTGCAAATGTATTTTAAATGTTGTAACTGTACCTGTATGTACCACTTCATCTGGCAGTGCATTCCACATACAAACCACCCTCTGTGTGAAAAAGTTGCCCCTCAGGTCCATAAAAATTCTAAATGTTGCAGGAAATTTGAATGAAAATTCAATCTACATCAGCTAGAAAGCTTGGTAATTTTAGATCATGGTTTTAATAAGAATTATGAATATTGCATTTTAAAACATAAATATCATTCAGTATAATACAACTAGAAATTAAATGTTTCAATTCTGAGTATTAAAGTTAGCAGGTGGAAATATAATAATAATGATAATAATTACAGGAAAATAGTGTAAAGAACCTACAGTTCTACAATACATTTTAGCATCTTAAAATATTCAAATGTGCATTGACCTTCAACATCAGAGCTAAACAATAGAGTCAAGAGTCAAAGACAAAAGCCAATGAGGCTTTTGGATGTGGGATGGGATATACTGAAGTGGGAGAGTTTACAAAGATAATTCTGATATACTGAGTGAGATAGTTAAATGCTCTTTCACTGAGATTACGGAGGAGTAAACAAGGTGTTTAGGAGAGTTGGAAGCAAACTTAGATGTATAGCTAGTGGAGTCTGCAGAGATTGGCACTCTGAGATTGTGAAGGATTTAAAAGTGAAGAAATGCTTTCTAAGTCAAGGCACTGAGCATGGCAACCGGTACACGGATAAGGGTTACACCTAAATTGGTAATGTGCTAGTATATTTCCTGAAAAAATATAACAGATAGTATCTAAATATGGGAATAGGTCTGAATAAGCCATAATCTTTAGCTTTAGCCACAGCTTTAATCAGTGCCTATCTCTATGTAAATATGGAATAATAACCATCAATGCCTGTCTTTTATATAAGAATGGAATATCACACTGCTGCCTACACTGGTCTCTGTTCAAATATAAATATTGCTTGTTTTAATCTTGGTGTCTGTCTATATGAATATCGAATATTACCCCTCAGTAATATCTGTGCCAATTGCAATATCTCACTGGAATATTCAATATCTTTCTATTTATTGATGTGTAATACTACCCTCTAATAATACCCCTCTTTTTTATGCCTTTCCTAATTCAGTTATGAAATACTACTTACTTGTAATCTCAGTGCTTATCTTTATATAAATATTTGTGTTAAGTGTATTTGGACTTGTGTCTTTGAATATGGAATATTATTTATCTGTAATATATTCCTTTAATTTTCATGTAGAATATTACTGAAATATAATATGTGCCTTCCTTTTTACACATATATTACTCATTTATACCTGCACCTTCCTCTTTATGCATGTGAATATTACTCCTTTATAACTTGTGCCTTACCCTTTTTATACATGTAAATATCACTCATTTATAACCTGTGCATTTCTCTTTATATGCTTGGCATTTTACTCAGGTTTAATAAGTGTCCTTCTCTTTAAAGATATGCATTATCTTTGCATTATCAAGTTTTTAACTCTACAACTATAGAATATTCTTTTCTGCTTTATCTGTGTTTAGAATAATTATGGAATATTACCTATGATAATATATTGCTCTCTCTCTCTCACAATAGGTATTGACTGTTACCCCTCTAATGATATGCTTGCTTCGCAATATAAAAATGGAATATTATCTGCCTGTGATCTATCTTTTTGTCATAAATATTGAATATTATTCCATTGTAAAAACTATGCCGTCATCTTTAGGAATGTAGAATATTTCTATTATAAATCACTGTTCCTATATAAATATAGAATATTGCCTCTTGATAGTAACTTTGTTTTTCAACATAAGAATGGAATATAACCTGTCTGTAATCTCAGTATTTCTCTCTGGATATAATTACGTATATAATTTCTGAACATATTTGTACTTCAATACAGATGTGTGATATTAGTTGTTGACTTGTTTGTCTCAAAATGGGATACATGGAAAATGATATTTAAATCTGTGGTAGACTTTAGATGTATGTGGAATATTATTGGGCTTGAGTTGGATCTGACAGACACAATTGCTGACATTGTTCACATTTAAATCTTTGCACTTGTACATTTAAACACAAGCCGGCTTTCAACTGATATTCCCAATGCAAGGCATTCAATTTGTCTGTCCTTCTGTGATGGAATAAGATTCTCTGTAACCTTTTCTCCAATTGTCATGACTATGCCCTGAAGAACCTTTTGTTTCTTGGTGCAAATTTAGCTCCTCTTGGAGAAATGTGCAAATGATGGGAGGGTGCTGTTTGCCTTCCTTATTATTTGTTCCTGCTGATATGGAGAGTGGTTCTTTGTGTAATTTGGTTATTTGTCTCTTTACAGACATGGAAGCTGTTCCTTGGTTTCCGAAGAAGATTTCTGATCTGGACAAGTGTGCGAACCGGGTGCTAATGTATGGCTCAGACCTGGATGCAGATCATCCGGTATGAAATCTTTTGGTACATCTGGTCTCACTTCCTTATCCTAGTTATTTCTGTCAGCCTTGTTTGTAGATTTATCTTAAAATGTCATCTTGATGATATTATGCCATTCTTTACTTGAGAACCATGTCTATGGGTTAATACTTATCTCTACTGTACCTACAGAAATACTACTGACCTTCAGGAAAAACTGTAATGGCATACTGTGGGCATAATCCCACCTTTCCCCTTTCTGCTGTACTGCAATCCAAAGCTACTTCCTAATAACTTTGAGATTTAGCGTGAATACCTATGGTCAGTAATGTCAGTGCTAGTAATGGAATGCTGTATTTTGGACAGTGTCAGCAGCTGGCACCTTTAAGACCAAAAAATAATAATCAAAGAATAAAATTCTCACCACTGCACCTGATAAGGCGTTTCTGCCCAAACCTCAGAAACAAAAACACAAAATTGGCATTGTTTTGAAACATTTTATAGTGAACTGGGAACATTTCACCCACAGATTTTCCCTCGTATTTGTAGAATAGCCCCTTATCTCTCCTCAGTGATACTTTTCTTGTATTTATGACCACTTGCATTTATGCTTCAAGTGTCAGGAGCTGCTCATGCCTCAATATTCTGAAACACAATTTAGACAATGTGCCTCCATCTGAACTGAGAGTTGCTTTTTCTTTTGCTGTGTTTTCAATTCTTTTTGCTCTTGTTTTCTCTCCTGTTCGGGATTGTGACTGTTCCTGGCCAGATCTCCTGCAACCCGCTCTTTATATGAGATTCTAACTCATTCAAAACCTATCCACTTACACAGAATTAAAATTGTCCCCTGCACACTTGAGCTGTATCAGTGTTGGTCTGTGGATTATTTGAACTAATTCCTCTTGACCTGGGATCTACTTTCCACTTGAGATGGGCTGAATGGTTGTGGGTGTTGCTGTTAGATGGAGACTGAGATTGGGCTGGGGTTCTGGGATTAATAGTTAGTTACCCTGCTGCCTGGAACAACACTGGCTAATTCAGGACAGGCCAGCAACTGAATGTGGGACTTTCTGAGTCTGAACGGCTCAGTTCAATGCCTGATATTTTCTTCATCTCTTAGGCTTTTGGAGGTGCATTTTGGTACACTCCAAGTTTTACTGTATAAAGTTTCTTTTCACAATTACTGTCTTAACGATGTTTTGCAATGACTTTGAGAATGGCTGTCTGCTTTCTTATCTGTTTGCCTTGATATTGACAGGGATTCAAAGACAATGTCTATCGCAAAAGGAGAAAATATTTTGCAGATCTGGCCATGGAGTACAAATAGTAAGTGTGTTAACAGCAGTCTTGAAATTTATATAATCTTTCTTTCATCCATTCATAGTGAAATGATTTTATTTTACTGTATTAAAATACTTACTTACAGTTTAATGTCTGGCAATGTTATATTTTACACTCTTGTGCTGTCATCTGCAGAAGCTACTGCGGGTCAAGTTGGGGCAAATTGAGACTCAGTTCAGACTCAGAAGGTCTCACGTTCAGTTGCTGGCCTGTCCTGAATTAGCCAGTGTTGTTCCAGGCAGCAGGGCAACTTGAGGGAACTGTGACAGTTGGTAGAGATGTGGATTATTTTTATTCCCTAATGGGATGTGTTCATCACTGGTTGGGCCAGCATTCACCATACATCCTAATTGCCACCGAGAAGGTGGTATTGAGCTGCCTTCTTGAACCACTGCAGCCCATTTCATGCAAGTTCACCCACAATACCATTAAGGAGGGAGATCCAGGATTTTGAATCAGGATAATAGACAACTGATGGAGTCTTTGCACTGGGTCTTAGACAACTCACTCCCGCAGAAACTGTTTTTAATGTTTTTTTCTCAGATTGAATCTGGTAGATATCAATATGAGGGATGTTGAGGCTGGGGATTGGATCGTTTATTGTTTCATGGATCTTGTATCAGTATCAAGCAGTTCCATATCCCATATATCACTAAGTAAAAGCGTAAAACCCCTTTGCACTATCCCATCATGTTAGGAATGATTTTTTTTTAGACAGAGTAAAATCCCTCCTACCTATCACATTGTTAAAGTCTCAAAACGACAATATGACAGATTTCGATTTTCCAAATTGGCCATCCTGAGGCTTCTTGACTGAAACAAAATATTTAGTGCCTAATCTAATTCTGGCTTGTATCCATTTATGAATTGGATTGAGACAAAATAGACTAATTTATATAGATACCTGACAGATAACAGGGGAAGGGGGCTTTCATCTAATCTGTCTGTGTTGCATTTAAACCAATGCAGCAGAGATCAAAGGCCAATGCATTTAGCCCCATCTGTGTATTGGAATTTACGTGTGGAAATTGGGTGGCATTACATCACATGTACAAGACTGAACAAAAGGGGGAGGTGTCGACGCAAATTTGACACTGGTTGTTTTGGAAGTGTAACAGCATATTGGGGGGAAAAGGATGTTCAAGGGATGTTGCAGTGATTACAACGAGGTCACCAAGTGTGCCTTGTCGAGTCTGAGTTCCCTGATTGGGGCTGTTAATCTGGTCCGATTAGGGAGTCGTGGCTGACAGATAAGAACAGGTTCACCCGAGAGCTGGATCAGTGTCAAGGACTGTCCATGTGTAAATAAAGGGTGACTTGGTGATGTGATTTGTGCCTCTGGAGTTATGTGAATATAAAGGTTAGGCCAGGGTTTATTTTCCATCTCTAACTTCCCTTGAGAAGATGATAGTGGTGCTGCCTTGAACTGCAGCAGTTCACATCGTGAAGCTACACTTAGAATGCTATTTGAGGATTTTGATTGAGTGATAGCGAAGCAATAGCAGAAACTACAAGCATTTTTCTTCATTCGCTCATGGGACATGGGCATTGACGGCTGGCTGAATTTATTGCCCATCTATAGTTGTCCTTGAAAAGGTAGTGGTGAGCTGCCTTCTTGAACTGTTATAGTCCGTTTGCTGTAGGTAGACCTACAATGCCCTTAGGGAAAGAATTCCAGGATTTTGATCCAGCTCACTATGTAGTTCCAAATTAAACGGTATGGATGGACATGCTGATTGATGGGTGCCAGAATCAAATTGATGCTTTGTGATAGACTTAACTGTTCTAATAATTTAACAATCTGCTTTCAACTATTGACTAGAAATGAGTTTGGAACAGTAGGAATCAAATTCAAACTATTCCTAATTTTTCATAGGTTGGTATTAATTTGACCCATCATCGCAGAGGTCATAGATGCCACATTTAAAGTTAAGAAAAGACCCGAAAATGCTTTAGCAATGCTGTACCTGATCTGGGAAACATTTTAAACCGACATTACCAGCAGAAATTGCAAAACATTTCCATTCCCCAGAGCTAAATATCTGTCAATTGGAGTTCAACCATTTCTACCACATATTAATGAAATGATTGCAGTCAGACACTAGATGTTGAGATGGCTTCATATGGTATGGTAATTGCTGACAGCCAAGGTGCTAGACTATCCTTGATTGACTATGACTTGTCTCTGCAGTGGTGACCCTATTCCACAGGTAGAATTCACAGAGGAAGAAGTGAAAACATGGGGCACAGTTTTCCGAGAACTGACCAAGCTATACCCAACCCATGCCTGCAGAGAATATTTGAAGAATTTGCCTCTGCTGACAAAGTACTGTGGCTATAGGGAAGATAATATTCCTCAGTTGGAGGATGTTTCCAGGTTCCTAAAGGGTGAGTCACAGAAGCCATGGGAAAATTATTTATCCCAATCTACTTTTTGATAAGAAAATTGTAGAGCCATTGTATAATTTGTAATAGCAGTGTATTATAATCCTAGGAGGACATGGTATTACACTCTGAACTCTGTATTTTATATTTTCTACTGTTGTGTGCTGTAAATCACATTCTCTGTGGTTTGGTAACTCATACCACACCATCTGAGATTTGGCTACTGTGACGCTTACCACCTAAGTACATGTGCTCACCACATTCACTTGCCAAGCCATGATCCTCCAGACCACCCCTAACTCCCCCACCCAAAATGCCCCTCAAACCCAGAATGCCAAGTCATGCTCTTACACTCACTCCCAACAACCTCCATTCCAAAGCATTCCCTTGCACCCATCCCCAATGGCCTCTTACACTGTCCATGCTAATATATGGTGCTTTCATGTCGATTCACCTGTATAGAACCAATGAATCCAATAGTAACAATTGCATGCGTGCAACATCTTGAAAATGACAGTCATTCATAACTCTCTACTTTCTTGAAAAAGAACTTACTTTTGTAGCGCTGTATTAAAATATCAGTCATCTAGGCCTCTAATGTTGCAATAGCAGAAACTACAAGCATTTTTCTTTATTCACTCATGGGATGTGGGCATTGCTGGCTGGCCAGCATTTATTTCCTGTTCCTAGCTCCCCTTGAGAAAGCGGTGGTATGCTGTCTTCTTGAACTGCTACAGTCCATGTGCTGTAGGTAGACCAGCAATGCCCTTAGGGAAGGGATTCCAGCATTTTGACCAGCAAAGTGAAGGAACAGCAATATATTTCCATGTCAGGGATGGTGAGTGGCTTGGAGGGGAGCTTGTAGGTGGTGGCATATCTGCTGCCCCTGTCCTCTTAGATGGAAGTGGTCTTGGGTTTGGAAAGTGCTGTCTAAGGATCTTTGCGAATCTCTGTAGTACATCTTCTCGACAGTAAACAATACTGCTACTGAGCGTCATCTTGTGTAAATAAAAGTTGTGCAATAAACATAAGATTACAGGGAAAGAGCTGTAATCAAACAATCTCTGTCCCTTAGTTGCAGCTAGACTAACAGATACCCAAGTTCTTTGTCAGGAATGCATAATGAGGCTTTATTTTCTTTATTATCAAATAATGTATCAATATGGAATAAAACTATGATCTTTTCTATTCATGTAATTTATTTAATTGCTCACATTATGGATTTTATTATTGCTATTACCACGATAACACCTATCTCTTATCTTTCAGAAAGGACTGGGTTCACTATACGACCAGTAGCTGGTTATCTGTCTCCCCGGGATTTTCTGGCTGGTCTGGCATTTCGGGTGTTCCATTGTACTCAATATGTGAGACACAGCTCGGATCCACTCTACACCCCTGAACCGTGAGTCTTTTATTGGCTGTGGCTGGGTGTGACACTGAGTAGTCAGGAAGACAAGCTACAGCAACATGACAAAGAACACACAATATGACTTAAAAGAACTATATTTCAATTTAATTGTAGTCAGAGTGATTACAGCTACATCAAGTACACTTGAAATGCTTGAACTGCTGAAAGTAAATGGAATGTTAGTATCTCTAATAAAATTTCTGAATGAATCCTTATACTCTGATGCTTCCCTGATGAAGTTCTCGGAGTAACAACTGTCCCAGAAGAATGGCATATAAAATTGATCTGAATCTTCTATTCCGGAAGATAGTTCATGAAGGATTGAGCTGGAGCGAATTGATTTTGTTCCATTTTATTTTAAATGATACATGTTTATCTATATGTCCTGAATCTAGAATGAGGGGACAGAGTCTCACCCTAAGAGACTTCTATCTAGCTTTAAGATGGGGAGAAATTTCTTCACACAACTGCTTGTGAATCGTTGAAATTCTGCATTCTGAAACATAGTGGATGCTCAGCTGTTGAGTTTTTTCAAACTGAAATGGATTGGCTTTAGTTGATAAGGAAATACAGATCCGACAGAAGGGACAGTTAAATAATAGATCAGATATTATCATATTAAATTGCAAATGCATCATCAAATTTGTGAATGGTCTCCTGTTGCTTTTATTTCTTCTGTTCTTATGCTTGTGAAATGCCAAATAGAATATCACAATTTATGGCAATTTCTTTCTCTTGCTCTTCTTTTTCAGTGACACATGCCATGAGCTGATGGGACACGTTCCTCTTCTGGCTGAACCAAGTTTTGCTCAGTTTTCTCAGGAGATTGGCTTGGCTTCTCTGGGAGCTTCTGATGAAGCAGTTCAGAAACTAGCCACAGTAAGCTATGTTAAATTATGATTCAGTCAGAACCTACAACTATAACATATAAGCTGTTGATTGTGCTTTGTTTATGATGTTCAGTGTTGATTAATTTTACAGTGCTACTTTTTTACTGTGGAATTTGGTCTATGTAAGCAAGATGGTCAACTCAGAGTCTATGGAGCTGGTCTGCTGTCTTCTGTCAGTGAACTGAAGGTTAGTATCACTCTGAGTCGACAGGGATCTGACAATTCAGTGGGTCCAGATAATTAACTTTTCATTGAGGATGGGGTGAACATTACAGGAGGGGTGTATTTGTCAGCTTCTCCGGTCAAAAGGTTGGTCGACACCTTGCCAACTAGAAATTTGGCATCCCCACAGTGATAATACACTGGGGACAGCCTTAATGACTTAATTAAAGTCCCATTCTGAAGCAGATCAGGCATTCTGAATGGTGCAGTAGCTCTGTCATCCCAGCAGTACTGGCCATTGCTGGATCTACAAGGAGTGCTGAGAAGAATGGCTGTGACTCCTGGACTCAATATAAGTCCAGGTATTTAGATTAGGCAGAGATTGAGATCCCTTTAAGGTGGGGTAGGATGTTAATGGTGTGGAGGGTTTTGGAGGCCAGGGATTGAGGTACAATTGTGAGGGTGTGCTTACAGTCCTGGGCATGCGCACCTCCAATATGTACAGAGCACCCCCCCTAAAGAAATATCAATGTTTTGCCTGTCATTAGTCCAAGCAATGAAGTCTGCTGGACTGATCACCTCCCTTCTGCCTTTGCCAGAAACCTGTGTGGTAGCAGTGGAGGAGGAATGACGTCCTTAATTGGTCACCTAAGGTCTAAGCATGGGATTCCTGCAGCTCCTGTTATATGGGGAACTGGTGATTAGTGGCAGGAAGTTGGCGCTTCATTATACACATCGCTGCCTCCAAATACCCAGGCGGGTCTGTAAAATTCGCCTAAATGATTAATCATTCAATTGTCACTGCTTTCTTTTGTGCAGTGCTATATTTGAAATTATCCAAAGCTTGAAGAAACTGTATCGTCGTAACTTTCTCCTCATCTCTAACCTCCCTTTCACCATTGCAACCTGACCATGTCTTTTTCTATTTTATCTCACCACCAGTGGTCATTGTCCTTCTCTTGTTCCTTCTAACCTCCAAATATAACACCTCCCAGGTTCTTCCTTCCTTTTCACTGAGTTGCCATTGATACTTGTTGCACCATATTCTACCTCAAAGTATTCATTCCCAGGTCTGCAAGCTCTTAAACTCTGTATCTCTTTCCATTTCTCCTCTCTTAACATCCGCAGACAACAAGTTATTGATCTAGATTTAACTCAGAATCAGTCTTATTCCTTGCAGCTTTGGTCATGTTGGTTCTTTGCATTTATGTGTTTCAACTAAATGGAAGGACTGTAACTGCTGCACATCTTAGTTTTGAGGAATATTAATCTGCTCTTCCTGAATTTTGTAGTACTCACTCTCAGGAAATTCCAAGGTGAAGCCTTTTGACCCAAAAGTCACTTGCAAGCAGGAGTGTCTCATCACCACATTCCAAGATGTCTATTTTGTTTCAGAAAGTTTTGAAGATGCCAAAGAGAAGATGAGGTAAGTGGAAGGACTAGTAGAATCTGCAAGATAGTGCACTGAACTTTCAATGCCGTGATCCGAATTTAAATCCACTTTTAAGTTATTGTGATAAAAATGTTAGCTGTGAAATGAATTGGGGCAGTTGTCAAGCTGGCTCCTATCGACAGTCCTCTGATCCAACATTAAGTAGCATCTTAATTAGAAAGTTGAATGCTTCTGCAAAATGGACAACAAAAAAATGTCAAGTCTAGTAAAAGGAACTTTAATTTCCATCATATGTTGGCAATAGATGCCCACAATGCCAAGTTCTCTCTTCTCCAGCACTTACATACCTTACCTTGGCAAAAAATTACACAAAAGGCAGGTAATCAACTCTATTTATGTCAGGAAAACATTTAATCATCTAGTTAGCTCTTGTTGAATTAGACTGTCTGTATAAGGGCAACAAATCTTGTATAGGTTATTTGAAAAATAGCGAGACTATCATCAAGGGAAGAGCTCCATTGAAGAGACGGACAGCTGTTTAATCTTTGATTTAACTGATCTCAGCCTGGGGCTGAGAAAGCCTTTATAATTTCAAACTTTTCTCAAACGATGGAAGGAAAAATCAGCCGTCGTTCCTGCTCCTGATCACAATTTAGTTACTTGTCCTGGAAAATATGCGTGAATACAAGTTATAGGCCAAGAGTATGCTTCTCTTTTCTATCCAATTTTCCAGAAAACAATGACTCTTATAAGCCCTCTGGTACCTCGCTCAAGTGGTCACCCTTCATATTTCAGCCTTTTCAGTCAATGTCCACAGACTCCTTTAACCACAATGCAACACAACGTAAATATTTGATATAGCTCATTTGGTACACTTAAGAGAGCAAGTTAATGGAGAGTAACAAGGAATGGCAACCCCAGGCTGTTCTTCTTTTTTCATCCAATGTCATTGAAGCCAAATTGCTCCCCTAGCTGTGACCAGCTGGCTTAACACAGACCAGGCTTAGAACCTAGCATCTTCTGGTCAGTTTAGCTTAAGAAACTCTCTTTTGGCATGTTGATACAGAAAATTTTCAACCCCAATTTTATGAATTCTGTTTTTGAAGGGAATTTGCAAAGACCATCAAGCGCCCATTCAGTGTGAGATACAATCCATACACACAGACTGTGGAAGTTCTGAAGGACACCAAGAGCATCACAAATATTGTGAAGGAACTTCGACAGGAGCTCGATATTGTTTCAGATGCCCTCAGCAGGATCAACAAGCAATATGGCATCTAACCCTAACCTGTCGCTGCTCCATCCCTCACCCCTGTTGCAAGTTCGTACCTGGTTATTATTCTTAAGGCATGATTAGATAATATCCTGAACAATTAACCAAACATTAACCTGCAAAAGTACAAACGGTGACAGCATATATAAAAAAACAGACTGGTTCAAAACTAGGTCATGCTGACATAGTCTGCATTTGGAAAACTAGCATCCTATACATGCAGACACTGATCCTTGTTCAAGCTGCTATCTTTTAAGAAATCTCAATACTGAATCAGGTATCCAGGCTGTGGACATTGTAGCCAGGTCTGTCAGGCTCTGACAGAAGGCCACAGTACTGAAACATTAGCTCTGTTTCTCTCTGCACAGATACTGCCAGAGTGGCTGAGCGTTCTCAACTTTTTCCATTGTTTATTTCAGGTTTCCAGTACTGTATTTCTGTGTTCTGTCAGGCAATTCTCCATTCCCTAGCAAGGCTCAGAGTAGGCAATTACAATTCTCAAATACTTGTTTGACAATTTCCATTATTCACATTGTTTGACCGGCGGGAGCATTGTAGAGAGCCATTTACAAAATAAAAACCCCACATTCTTCATTTATTCATTGATTGTAATTAAAAGAATGTAGATAAATGGTCTCCTTTGTGAACATGACAGAATTCCTGTGGAACATTGCTCATTTGAAAGTTCCATGAACAGAAAAAAGCAGACTAAATGGATGTCCATTACCTATCAGAAGAAAAACCCTCATACCTGCAGTTCCAAGAATTTGAAATTAAAATCTGTCAAGGATTAGCCAAATATTTGGGTCTGCTGCACTGACAAGTAATCTTCATTGAAATAAATTAACTGTTAAGGAGTTTGGATCATTTAGATCCTGACTTTTCTTTAAAATAAGGTAGACTAGTATTGCCAGAGAGCAGAAAAATAAAGTCATGAAGAAGATCCAGAAGAAACTCCTCTGTGAAAACTTTTATTTGTGATAATGAATCAGAAGAGAGAGAAATTTAGATTTTCTGCTTTTGCTGAATCAGAAATGTCAATGACAGGGTGAAAATTCTGACCCCCACAAGTTCCTGCCAGGATATTTTTGGGGGTGAAAGGGGTTAATTCAGCTTTCAGGCCTTTGCTGGTCTGTTTACCTGGTGTAATGATCCATCCTGATGGAATGCAAAGGGGTTCCATTCCTTTTATTTCTTAACCCTTGGTACCTACCCGCATGAATACTGGACTCCAGGAATAAGCAGGTATTGCTGCCTTCAGCTGCTGCTGAGAACAATTGAAGAAAATGCCACATGACAAATTCCTGTAATTTGTGTGTAATTATGGGGAAGGTATAACTTACGCCCAATTACATTGCTGGTAGTGGTCAAACGGGGAACCAATGGAGCAGAATGTCAAGGTTAGAATCTACAGGATGTCACATGAAATATCCAGTGGGCATACGCTGGGCTGTGAAACTTGGAATATTGGTACATTGGTGGTAGACCTCTTATATATTCTGGAGACTAGTCTTGCAATAATTTACAATTGGAGGATTGTCTGATGATAGTTGAAGGTGCAGAATATAATCCAGCAGCTGGCTTCAGGTATAATGATCATGTCATGAAGAGACTGCATGACTGTTGTCCCTCTGGTACAATGATGTACCCTATCCATGCTCACTGAGTTTTGCAGGTTAATGTTGGCAGTTGCTGACTAGTCTAGAATGTTTGCTGAAATCCCGTTGTCTTGCAATAGTTGTCACCCTGAAGATTTTGAAGCTGCTGTGTGAATGGCTTTCATATTCCCTGACTGTCAGCTGTAGTATTTGCGTACTGATTGTTGTGTTTCTACATGCATTCGCCATGACCAGTAATGCTTTTGCTCAGAAAATCATTGTTTTAAAGTAACCAAAACTTTCAGTTCTTGCGTTGGAGGGTGGCACTTTGGAGAAATAACATTGGAGTATGTGTTCAGTTCTAAGAGTCCATTTATTAGCTGGATGAAAGCTGAGATAATTGTAATTGAACAGTTTTTAAAAAAGAATATAGTGTTGAATCTGAATTTGGTTAACATTCACAAAGGGAAAGTGCTTTTGAATTAAGATCCAGATGGAAGGGAAAGGGGTTGCTAATGAGTACGGCTGTTTTAGGCTAGCACTATGCATAGAATTTGGGACTAAATGAAACTGGGATTATGCAGGAAGAGACCATACCTTCAGTTTATGTGTAATGGATATTAATAGCCTAACAAGGACAAGTTACATTTCATCCCATGTAGGCACAGTTTTCAACTTTACAACTCTTGCTAGATTCTAATTTTAGATTCTAATTCTAGATTTTAAATGCGCTTGTCCTTGTGCCAAATTATTTGCCCAATACGCTTATGTTTCACTAATAAAGATCAGATTTACCCTATAAAGCTGTTGTGTGCAATGGCTGAGCCTAACTCAATGTACTGTAGTTTTGTTTCCACTTTTTGGGAGTGGTCATGTGATGCAACAAAAATTCTGTTCAATAAATGCATCTTAATTTTATTGAGTAATTATGGCTGAATCATTATACCTTAATGTCTTCTGTGCTTTTTGATGTGTATTAAGGACAGTATTTCTGCACACATTTGCCAATATCATCTACAAATTCAATAAGTCTACCTTCTGTGGGAGTTGGTTAGCCCAGTTAGCTGGATGGCCAGAGTGATGCCAACAGTGTGGGTTCAGTTCCATGCCAACTGACATTATCATGAAGGACTCACCTTCTCAACCATTCCCTGACCTGAGGCATGGTGACTCTCACATTAGACCACCACCCGTCATCTCTCTAATGAGGGAGGAGCCTTATGGTCTGGTGAGACTATGGCATATTTACCTTCATGGCAGATTGGTTGGGAGGGTGCTATTGGTTTAGCTCAGTTGACTAGATGGCTGGTTTAGCAGACAGTGATACCAGCACTGTGGGTTCAATTCTCTCACTGGCTGAGGTTACCATGAAGGATTCTTCAACCCAATCTCCCCAATCACATGATGTATAGTGATACTCAGGTTAAACCACCACCATCTTTCAACTCTCTCTCTGAGGATAGAGCCTATGGCCTGGTAAGACTATGGCAATTTTTACCTTTTACTCAAACATATAAATATAATAATCAAGAGGGTGCAGAGCTCTGAGACCTGGGCCTCATTGACAAGAATAGCTCTTTCTAAAAGAAACACTCTTTGCTTATAGTCCTTTAGGTAATTTGCAATCAATCTACCTATATTTACCCATAACATCATGGAACTTACTTTTAGGATAGAATTCCTCAACTGGAACTTTACCAAGCGTTTTTTGTAACTACAAAGTTAGGCGACCTCTAACTGAACCTCCCTGATTTACCAATCCAGTGATTTCAACCTCTAAATCAGATACTGTTTTCTATTAATTTTAATCCACTAGATATATAGTTTTCCAACTAAGTTTATCGCCTGTTAGTTTGGCATTCATCGTACAATAGCTGGAAGGCTGTACCAATTACACACGAGAGTTCATTTACCTTCATAAGCAAGAGTTGCTGATGGAAGCAGACTTTCAAGTGCGTGTGGGGAAAGTTTTCAGGAGGGGCCTTGAATTTCTATGTATTGTTTCTTGCAGTCTTGGTCCTTTGTCATCAATTAATAATGGTAGCTGACTATCTCCTCTGGCCTTGAATAGAGCTCTCACATCTCCTGTATTGTTAACATTCCACAAACACACTTTGTTCCTTTGGGAGCAAACACTTCTCATCCTATCAGTATCTCACTGACTGCTTATGAAGCGCACGTTTGATTTGACTTGAATACTGCTCCTTTCCCTGGAAAGGATCAACTAGCCTCTGTCTCACACTGCTCAATGAGATGCAAAAAAATCCTTTGCCCAGATTACCATATAGTTCTCATTCTTGCTGTTTTTCACTTTTTACTGCCAATCTCTATGTTATTAGTACAAGCATATCCATTATTTCCCTGAACGCTTGATCTCTTGATCCTCCTAATATCTAGAAAAGTCCATTCTTTATATTTCTTCCTTTCCCACCCTCTCTTTGTAACCAAGACTTATTACAATTTATCCATTCAAACTCAATCTCAGCAACTCAAACATGGAACCCCACAATTCTTTCAGTATCCCTTGTCTCCTGTTTTATTTACATTTAGATCCTTAAACTAAGTACAACATCTTGAATTATTTTGGTTTCTCTTTAGTCCTGGTTGTGTCCTGAATGAGCAGTTGGGTGGTCAATAATTAAGTAATCCGTGCAATAAATTACTACTCCCATTAAATAAGTACAGATTAAATAAACTTATTCAGTGCCTGAAATTTTAGGATCATCTTGGTGTAAAATGAGCTCCTGAGTTTTAACCTAGTGATAGTGTAGGAGTGGTGATAAAGTTCCAAGTCAGGATGGGTTAGGGTTAAGGTTAGGGTTGCGTGCTTTGGAGGGGAACTTACAGACGATGATGGTACTACGTATCTACTCCCCTTGATCTTAAAGGATGAAGAGATCTCGGATTTGGAAGGTGCTATAGTAGGGCGGCTGAGGTGCTGCAGTACATATTTTATAGAGTACACGCCGCTGCTGCTGTGCACTGTTATTGGACCAGGTGGTCTAGGTTCGAGTCCCACCTGCTCCAGAGTTGTGTAATAATATATGTTGATTAGAAAAATAGGTTAAATAATAATTCTAAAACATACAGTATTTCCATATGAGGATGGTGATTGACTTGGAGGAGAACTTGCCAAGAATCTGCTTCGGGCCCATCTTGTTGATGCAGCCACTGCCGATGCTGCTGTGTCTCATACTGGGCCCAAACTTGTCTCCGCCACTGCCTGTGTGAATTTGTGTTGGACAAGATACCGCAGGGAACCCAAACTCACCTCCGCTGCAGCAGCCACTAGAAGCTGCAGAGAACCCAGACCTACCTCTGACACCACTGCCATGAGACTGCACTGGGCCCACGCGAGTCCGCGCCGGGCCCACTCAAGTCCCGTTGGGCCCACACAATCCTGCGCTGGGCCCACTTGAGTCCACACAGGGCCCACTCGAGTCCGCGCTGGGCTGACTCGAGTCCACACGGGGCCCACTCGAGTCCGCGCCGGGCCCACTCGAGTCTGCACTGGGTCCACTCGAGTCCCGCAGGGCCCACCTCAGTCCACGCTGGGCCCACTCGAGTCCATGCTGGGCCCACTCGAATCTACACGGGGCCCACTCGTGTCCACGCTGGGCCCACACAAGTCCATGCTGGGCCCACTCGAATCTACACGGGGCCCACTCAATCCTGCGCTGGGCCCACTCAAGTGCGCGCTGGACCCACTCGAGTCCGTGCTGGGCCCACACGAGTCCGTGCTGGGCCCACTCGAGTCCACGCCGGGCCACTCAAGTCCACGCTGGGCCCACTCGAACCTACACGGGGCCCACTCAATCCTGCGCTGGGCCCACTCGAGTCCACGCTGGGCCCACTTGAATCTACACGGGGCCCACTCAATCCTGCGCTGGGCCTGCTCGAGTCCTGCTGGGCCCACTCGAGTCCACGCCAGGCCCACTCGAGTCCGTGCTGGGCCCACACGAGTCCGTGCTGGACCCACTTGAGTCCTGCTGGGCCCACAAGAGTCCGCGCTGGGCCCACTCGAGTCCTGCTGGACCCACTCGAGTCCGCGCTGGGCCCACACGAGTTCACACTGGGCCCACTCGAGTTCACACTGGGCCCACACGAGTCCATGCTGGGCCCACTCGAGTCTGCACTGGGCCCACTCGAGTCCTGCTGGACCCACTCGAGTCCGCGCTGGGCCCACTTGAGTCCGCGCTGGGCCCGCTTGAGTCCCGCTGGGCCCACACGAGTCCGCGCTGGGCCCACTCGAGTTCACACAGGGCCCACTCGAGTTCACACTGGGCCCACTCGAGTCCGTGCTGGGCCCACTCGAGTCCGCGCTGGGCCCACTCGAGTCCGCGCTGGGCCCACTCGAGTTCACACAGGGCCCACTCGAGTTCACACTGGGCCCACTCGAGTCCGTGCTGGGCCCACTCGAGTCCGCGCTGGGCCCACTCGAGTCCGCGCTGGGCCCACTCGAGTTCACACAGGGCCCACTCGAGTTCACACAGGGCCCTCTCGAGTTCACACTGGGCCCACACGAGTTCACACTGGGCCCACTCGAGTTCACACAGGGCCCACTCGAGTTCACACTGGGCCCACACGAGTCCATGCTGGGCCCACTCGAGTCCGTGCTGGACCCACTCGAGTCCGTGCTGGACCCACTCAAGTCCCACTAGGCCCACACGAGTCCACATTGGGCCCACTCGAGTTCACACAAGGCCCACACGAGTTCACACTGGGCCCATTCGAGTTCACACAGGGCCCACTCGAGTTCACACAGGGCCCACACGAGTTCACACTGGGCCCATTTGAGTTCACACAGGGCCCACTCGAGTTCACACAGGGCCCACACGAGTTCACACTAGGCCCATTCGAGTTCACACAGGGCCCACTCGAGTTCAGACAGGGCCTACTCGAGTTCACACTGGGCCCACATGAGGCCGTGCTGGGCCCACACGAGTCTGTGCTGGGCCCACTCGAGTCCGTGCTGGACCCACTCGAGTCCCGCTGGGCCCACACGAGTCCACATTGGGCCCACTCGAGTTCACACAGGGCCCACATGAGTTCACACTGGG